GGGACAAATTACAATTGGAGTCCCAGCCTATTTTCAACATTCGATTTCAAGCAGTTTTATCTTTAACCTTTCAAGTTGATAGGAAGGTTCTCAAAAATTGTATCCATAAAAAATTAGCCCCTTGTTTGATTTTGTTAAAAATCATATTTTTCGTAGATTTTAATAAAAATTGATCAATGACCTGTTTGGTATGACTTTTACTTCTTGTAGAAAAAATTAATTTTTAAAATAACTTTCTTTTTCGAAAGAGTATATAGAGGAAGTCACATTGGTAACATTCTTGAAAAACCCTTTTAATTAAAAGAATCAAAATTAAGCAAACACATCCTAAAACAACTTTTAAATATTAGAAGCTCTTTTCGACATCGAATGTATGGATAAAGGGTTAATTAAAATTATAATAATTTCATTTAACACCAATGATGTTAAGCACCGATTTCGGTGTCAACATAACATATGTCTTATTGGACATGCCATAATTTCTTGTATTTAATTAAACATGTAATTTAATGTTATTAGAACTGTCATTTAGACTGATGTTAAACACTTAAACAACATTACTCAATCTCATAAAATATGTCGTTAAAAATGAATTTGAAAAAAATAAATTCTAAAAAATAAAGACCAAACATAAGCGAGTATATTTATACGTAGTGTACTAACTTTGCGTGTTGGTACATGTAAACGAGTATATTTATATGTAGTGTACTAACTAGTAGATGTATTTACCTAAGAATTAAATACACGCACTAATTTTCTTTATTTATACATAATTGATACTCCCTTCATTCAATGAAAATAAATTTATTTTTCTTTTTTGTTTGTCCCAAAATATAGACTACTTTTTTTGTTGAGAGTATAGTTGATTTTTTTTTTTCATTTTCTAATACGTCCTTATTTAAGGTGCTTTATTATCAACAAATATGAACTACTCTTATTTAAATAATTATCAATATAGGGTATATTAAAAAAGTGTAAAAAATTATATTTTTAACTATATTAATTCTATTTTCTTAATCTATGTGAAAATGAAAACAAATTTATTTTTATAGGACAGAGAGAGCACATCCATTCGCGCAAGGGCCTATCTGAACATAATATAAAGGAAAAAGGACAATGCCATCGTTTGATTTAGATAAAATCAGATTTTTAATATATTTTGATAAAAATTGATAGAATGTGTGGTTAAAAAATTGTAAATCACATGAAATATGTAGTTGACCTTGACTTAGATTTTAATTCAAATTTTCAGTTGAACCAAAAATGGAGAATATATAGATCACAAATAAAATGCAATCAAGTATATCTATCTCCAACTCAAGGAACATATTCTGGTTGATGTAGAGAAATATGAGCATCCAATTTTTCGATCCAATGTAAAATTTACCATTCGTGAATATTCGATAAGATGCATCATAAACATTTTTTTTGAAAATCGTGGATGTCCGAATCAATTTGCGCGCACATCGACTAATCTCACGGAGCCCTGGAGTTTACGTTCGGATACTCACCTCACTAGTCTTGAGGGGACTCGAATTGGTAATCATTGGAGAGCAAACTCAATGCCTGACCAATTGAGCAACCCCTCAAGGTTAAGATGCATCATAAACATCAATGTGGAAATTATACTAGACCAGTTATTTAGTTTTGACTTTTTAAAAATCAGGTTTTCCCTTTATTAATTC